TTAAAATACATTGGAGTAAATGATTTTGTAATTATTTAACATTCTTTGTACTTTCCTATTTGTTTTTGGCTACATTAAAGCATTTTTTGAAAATATACAGTAAGGTTCCATATTACCACCTGATTTTCTCTAAGCCTACTTTCTGACTTTTTGTGCAAAAGCCTTCAAAAACCATACTTATAGTTACACTAACGAAAAATCCAATTAGGAACATTTAGTTTAATAGTTACAAGTACTTTTTGCACAAAAAATGTGGGTGTAGTTATGATACCTTGTTTACAATTCACTAAAATGTAATTGGGGTTCCATAATACCACCTTCTCCTCTATAATTTATTAAAATCTAACTTCTTCTGTATTATAATTAACCACCTTTAAAACTTGAACTTAAAACCAAAATTTGACCGGATTTAAAGTTGGAGCCTCGGACGGCATTATGACGTCATGGATCGAGTGTTCTGGCTTTGATATAACCATGGCCACGTTAGAACCCTGCGGAAAATATAGACTAGTAAGACTACCATAAAACAGCGGCATCCACTCCTCCCCTGATTTCATCTCCTTGACACATCGTGATAAACATAACACCGGGTAGGCTAAAATAACCGAACTTTTAATATGGTTTTCATTTTAATATTTATCTTTATTACTTTTTGCCCGGGCAGCGTCGGGTATATCTTTTAGTTACTAATAAAAAGAAATAATTATGAGCTTTAATAAAAATATAAATTTCTCAAATAGAGTCATAACATATAAACATCTCAAAGCCTCATAATTATATAATACTCATAATTATATGAATATATTAAAGCCAAACGATTACCGGATTAAATCGGGCTAAATTACTCTGGTAATAGTTTGGCTTTAATATATTCATAAATTTAAAATAATAAAAACTAATTTTATTGTTTACAAATTTTCACGAAACATTTTCATTTAATTCTGAATTCGCTTAAGCTTAATTAAAAAACATTGGGTCTAAAGTAATTATATATTTATTATAGGCTTACACAAATATTCGTTTATGATATTTATACAATTAAAAAATCCTTAAGAAGAGTTGTTCTTCTCTTCTCTGCTATATCCATTTGAACTTGCAAATCTGCTTGATCTGTACTTTCAGCTCTTTCAATTTTCCACGATAAGTTTTCAATTTCAGCTTCAAGTTGGGCTTGTTGATATTCAAATAATTCCTTTCGAGGTCCTGCGCTCAAATAATATGCATACGGATAAGTATATTGAAGAGTATAACGGCAATTTGCAAGAAGGTTAGCACCATCAATTAAATATTGCCAATCAATCCAGGTTCCTTGGTTAGACATTACTTTATCGTTAATCTTATTTTTTATTTGTTGCAATGTTTGTTCTTCTAATTTTAGACTGTTCGCATGATTTTGCCAGCGCTCGTAGTAAAATAAATATTTCTTCAGAGAGTGTTTCGCTTGAGAAGAAGAATCATCAGTATCAGTATTTTCATCATATATACTACAATGATAATACTGAGTTCCGTGACATTTCCAATCATTAAGACACATCCAACAAAATTCGTATTTACAATTGTAGCATTTCATGTGGTTACATCCGCCATTTTTTTCTATGGTAACTTGACACATTGGACAGTCTTTAGTATGAGCACAAATATAATTAGCTGTTTCCGAATCGTCAGAACATTTTAATATCCAATTTTTAATCGTTTCACAATCATTTGGTGCATGGTAAGCTGTACCACATTTAAAACAAAATTGAATTTTGCAAGACGAACATATAACGCGTTTACTTTTAACTTCTGTTGCTCGGATTACAGTGGAACAGTCTGATCCTGGACAGAATCTTAATTCAGGATGACTCGAAATGCATTCGGAAAAAATAAGTTTTTTATATTTTTCTTTGAGAAGTGGACTTGTTAAAATATTGATTACGAAATCTTCTAGAACCAATATATTACATTTCTGTTGCATGCATTCTATATTTATTGAAACACCTTCCAAAATTTTAACAGTTAAATGACTGCACCAGCAATCTCTACAGAATTGATGTCCACATGCCAAGCTATTAAAATTCTTTACAGAAATAGTTCTGTAGCATACAGAACATTCGTACTCATTTTTGTTACTTAAAAGCTGAGTTTCCACTTGTGAAGATGCAAATAATGTTTTAATTCTGGCATTAGCTAATATTTGGTTAATCATACGTGGCTCAATAGAATCTTCTAATGCCCAATTATGTGTATGCAACAATATTTTCGCCATTGATGATGTTATTTGTAATTTTGTACTTACAGTGTCAATGATTGTATTTAAAAATTGTTCGGCATCTTCGATCTGTAGACATTCGTATTTAAAATATTCAGGATCGTCGTTATGCAAACGAATTTCTTCCAATTCGACATCATCAGTGTGAAAATAATCATCATAAATTTCATTATCTTCGTCTATTTCAGATACGGTTTCGATTTCTGCCATCTTAATTTTTTAGTTTTGGTTTATTTCTTCAAAATTTTAACAATCTTATTTCAATATATTATAAAATAACTATAAAAATAGACAACAATGAATAATTTTATCTGTAAATTTAATTATTACTTAATTTGAGAAGACATTTGTCAGATTTTTGAAAATAACAAAAAAATCCGTGTCGAAAAATTGAATCTTGAAATTCTAATTAAAAACATTGAAAATTTTAGAATAAATTTTTAAAATTCAGTGATTAATTTGAATCTTTTTAAAAATAAATATTAATTTTATAATTAAAAAAATTATTGTCTTGTCTTAGCAGATGATGACCTTTTTAAAACTGTTTCTGCTCTGTCGGTTTTTTTAAGCAAGTCTATTATGTATTAAGTCAGGTGGAGAGGGACGGGACACGATATATCCGGATGGACCACCCCAAAAAATTCCTGGAGTTTTTTCATCCATCCTGATCCGATCCCGGATCCCCCAGAACTGTAGGTTGCCATCTTGACCCTAGATTTAGGGTTGATTGACAAGTTTTAGGATACATTTAGAGTTTAAAAATTCTAGGAAATTTACTAGGGCTTTTTCAAATTTCTGAAGATACAGTCATTTTATTGTTTTGTTTTATTGACATACTAAAACAAAACCCTTTTAAATGAAGTACTGTAGTTTTAAAAATTACTAATAAGGATAAAGTACTGTTTAACGCTTGTTAAATGATAAACAGAGGCGTAACTTCCGAGGTGACTGGGGTAACTAAGATATCTGGGCCCCCAAAGCCCCGACATAAAGAAATATAACGAATCTAAAGTGTTATTTTTAATAACTTAATAGTGTTACTACCCCAGGTAGTAACACTATTAAGGTCATCTCTATTACCCCAGGTAATAGAGATGACCGGATGGCCGAGCGGCAGGGGCGCCGCTAGCTGTTTTAAAGCCCGTGTGCAATACCGATTATGCAACCCCCTTTTTAACTACGACTATCTACGCCGAGGTTGCCAGAAAGGCTCTTTAGTGTTGTCTCATAAGGGTGTGAAAAAAGAAAAGAAATACTTTACAGAGAAAAACTAATTTATTATTACTAAGTTATTTTTGTTTGCTTAAGTATAAAACCATATAAATATTTATCTACAAAAATATTTATTCTTTTTGCCTTTATGTTTGCGAAACCTTCTATCAATTTTTTTTTGTATCCAAGCTGTCTAAGATTTCATGTTCAATTGAAACTATAGCTAAATTACTTAGTCTTTGCTTGTGCATTGTTGATCTTAAATAGTTTTTTTTTTTTATAATTTTTAACTTTGAAAAAGACCTTTCACCAAATGCAACTGAAAACGGCAATGTAAGTAATATTCTTAGTGCTATTGCTGTGTTCGGAAATGTTGAAATTAAGTCATCAGTAAAAAGATATCGTAATAGAGTGTGTGGATCATTAGATTGGTTTTCTGGAAAATGCAACTTTAAAATATTGATTTCATTAAACAAATCAATACCGTCAATGTATGTTTCACTACTCGAATCGTCTTTAAGTTTCAGATTTAAATCCTAACCAAGTTAAAATATCATTAATTATACTTAGACCCATGTCGGAAGAATTATTAACAAAAGAATTGCAATTTGATATGCGATAGAACTGTTCGAATGCGTACAAGTACAAATTGAGAAGTAAGCTCTGTGGGGATTCCCTATTTTCGCCAGTCCTGTCAACTTCCGTCATAGAGCACGACTATGGGTACTTGGCTTTTCGGGCACCGCCGGATGGTTCAACCTGCCGACAGACGTTTCGCATTGCATCTTAATTCTGATAAATGCCAAGAGAGGCGCTGTTAAGCTATAATATAAATAAGAATATAGTAATTGCGCGCCGGTCGGATTTTTTTTCTTTATGAGAAGACATTTCTTATGCTATAAGTAGGGTGGGTATTATGACAATGACTTTGATAATTCGTGACCGATCGCTCGATTTGCCGCCCCCTGGACGTACCACCCGCGTGCGGTGCACGCCTTGCACGCCCGCTTACGGCGGACTTGCCGAGCGGTCAAGGTGGAAAGGTGGCAAGGTGGCATACTACTGCTCTGAGGAATAGAATCTGGGAACCCGGACGGGTCAAATAATCCTTAGGAATTTTTCGGGGGGGTGGTCCGTTCGGATTTGTTGAGCTCCGTCCTTCACCACCCGGCCGCTCCATTGTGGGACTGCCCGAACCCATAATGGGCTTGTAAAAACGAGGCCCTATCAGTGCCCACAGGGCGGAAAGAGTTAAAAAAACCCAGGTAATAGGTATACTATGTTGCTCGACCCCATGATATTAAGTCACCCGTCCCCAAGGATTCAATTACGCTGTAAATCTGTCGATTTAGATTTTAAAATACAAATGTATTAACGAATTTACTGTTTCTTTTTTCACGAGACGTTGATAAATTTATGATTTATTTTAAAACTTTTACAGGTATTTGACTTACTAAAATTTATTACTTTTTTTATTACTAGTATGTCGTTCATAACAATAATTAGCGATTAACCTACTGCTTAGCTAGCTTGCTTAGAACTCTGAAGAAGAGTTAATATTGCACTAAGCACAAAACTCTGTTTTTTGAACTACTAAGATGAAAACTTAGATTAGAACAGTTAGATACTAACATCTACCGACTCTGATGATGCCAAAGTACAGTTGGCAACACTAAATGCCTTGTTACAAGTAAAACGACCACGTGGTTTGTGGATAGCGATAAGAGTGTTGTCGGAAATTTAAAAATTGTCAATTATCTATCGAGTAAAGGTAACGTGTTTTGATTGAAATGTATCTATATATAGTATTATAAGAAGACTTTTTTGTTTTTGAAACTATATTTTACATGAGAATCCAGTATTCTATATATACAAGTTTGAATTTTTGGTTTCATATAAATATAAAAAAAAAATTTTAATATATAGGAAGCTTGGTACAACATGTTACTTTTAACACGATACAAAGTTTCGTTTTATTTGCCATAATTAATACAATGGTTCCTCGTACTTCGAATTTAATTTATTCTAGGAGAATGTTCGAACTCCGAATCAATTTGTCTCATTAGAAAGTGAATTAATCCATTCCCAAGACCCTAAACAATACTCATTTCGATAAACTTGAAACAAGAATTTAAGGTAAAATAACAATTAAATGTCCTGATGATAAGTTAAAACACGAAAACAATAAATAAAATACGTAAGTACAGTATATTAAACTGAAAACTGGATTAACTGATCGTACACCGTCGACTTCCACGTCGACACTACTGTTTGATCCGCTCCACGTGTACTGTACCTCTTTCACGCTTCGTGATAACTTCCTTTTTCACCTCAATCGTCGATATTACAACTTTCTCTTAGACTTTGTTGTCTACATACTCGGATGCCATGGTTAATAAGTAAAGGTTATATTGAGTTTAACAAAGCTGTCACTACTTTACATAGATGTGTGATTTAATTATAATAATTGTAAAATTTAACATTGCTAATGTGAGATTGTATTCTTTGTTTAGAAGATTATTTTAAACTTCATATTTTGTTGAGTAAAATCAAATTAAAATGTCTTCAGATAAAAAACATATCAGAGATGATATGCTTTGGGTTTTGGAAAGGATATAATGCTGTAAAATTGTAAGAAAAAAAAAATTAAATTGTAATGTGTATGGGAAAGATGCTCTTAAACTTCAAACGTGTCAAATGTGGTTTAAAAAGTATCGTTCAGGAAATTTTGAACTAAGGATACAACATGTATGGAATACCCAAAAGCTGTCGACAAATAAAAATTGCAAGAAGAAATGGTTAAAGATCAACAAATAACATTATATATATAATCAAACACATCAAAAATAAAGCAAAAAAAAAAGCACTGAAAACATACGAGCATAGTGCAAGAGCAAGAGATGACTTGGGTGCATAACAGATTGTGTTTACACTTTGAGCACCTCTTTTTTTTTTTTTTTTACAGCATGCACAGTTCAAACTCTAAGATGAATTTTGTTAAATTTAGTTTTCGAACTCTGAAGCGTTTGAAGTATGAGGTATCACTGTATTAAGAGATTGAAAATTTAAATATACTATACTTGTGAAGTTCTTGATCTCTGTTTTATTTGAATAATATGAATTTACAGGAAAAATATAATTTAAGGTATAAAGTTTATTTTATAATTTTCTACTAAATGAAAAAAATATATATATAAAATTTCATTTCTAATTTTGTTAAAAATGGGGAATTTCTGAAATAAAATTATCTTTTTATATTCAAGTAATTTGAAATAATGTAACATGATTTGTAAATTTATTGTAATTTTTAAAAATTTTTTAACATTTGAAATAAAATATTAATCTTTATATAATCAGTTTTTATTAAAGATACATTTATTTATTATTTAAGATAATTACTGGGAAAAAATTAGATCTCTTCATTTAATAGGGAGAAACAAAAGTTCTTAGTAAAAATAAATTAAAACTAAACTAAAATATATAACAAGAACGTAAAAGTACTAAAAAAATTTATATAATTGCTTTAAAAATTGAACACTTGTTTTTCTGTTTGAATATCATGTGAGAACAAATGAGCAGATTTCTATGAAACTTTACTCATGTATTCAGGATAATCCTGGAAAGCTACAGTATACTTGCAACCTTACATTATAGATAGGCTAACTGGATAACTAGGAATTACTGATTGTGCAATGCAAAGACTGAGAAATAAAAACATGTTTTGTAGAAAGATTGTTGCAGAACTTGTAGTACTTTTAATCATTTATTCACTCTTTGTTCTCTTTATGGCAATACAGTAGAGTCTCAAACTTGGCACTCGATTACCCGGCAGTCTGGATAACTCGGCCACACACTGGCAGGGCAAAAAAATCCTTAGTTAATTAATTTTCATTATAGACAGCTTTATAAAAATATAAAAGCTCTCATAAAGTATTTTTCTGAGGTCTGTCTTATCAAGTAAATTACTGTACACAGTGTATTCATTAATTTTCATTTTCATGTAGTAAAGGCTCTATGTCTTCAT